AGTTCACAAAATCTTTATGTCACAGAAGAAATGGTGAAAATGCAATTTCAGGCAAAATTGAAATAATAGTAAAGTTCTAAAATGTCAACATGTTCTTTTTTTTTTTTTTGAGACGGAGTTTCACTCTTGTTGCCCAGGCTGGAGTGCAATGGCGCGATCTCGGCTAACTGCAACCTCCGCCTCCTGGGTTCAGGCAATTCTCCTGCCTCAGCCTCCTGAGTAGCTGGGATGACAGGCACGCACCACCATGCCCAGCTAATTTTTTGTATTTTTAGTAGAGACGGGGTTTCACCATGTTGACCAGGATGGTCTCGATCTCTTGACCTCGTGATCCACCCGCCTCAGCCTCCCAAGGTGCTGGGATTACAGGCTTGAGCCACCACGCCCGGCAATGTCAACATGTTCTTAAAAATGACCATAAAAATGGATGATAGATTAAATTATGTATACAATAAAAAATACTTAAATACATTAGTTTTCAGTCATTGTAAACTTATGATTTTATTTCTTTTCAGTTCTAGTAAAAATGTGAACTATTTATACCATTCTCTGCAGCCAAGATATTACATTATACTCTATCATGTGCATAAGTATGTGGTCTTCAATCCAAAATCAAAATTCTGCCATCTTTAACAGCAATTAAAATATAATAACTTGATCAAAAGGTACTATAATTTCAAGGTTTTCTATTTTATTTAACTTTAAAATTTCTGACTCTAAGGCAATTTAAAAAATAAAGCCAATTGACATGTAGATACATTTAAGCTAAGAAGAAAGATTCTGTAACTATTCTCTGTACATCTGCTGACTATAAGGTATGTATACATATCAATGTGCAGTACAAATTTGTAAACATGAACATTTGAAACTTTGAAAGGAAATTATACTAGTCTTTTTCCTCTCAGTATTTTATTGAAACAGCATGTCAAAAGTTGGCCAGCACCACACATGTAAATAGTTTTAATACTGAATATGTTTCCAGTGTTCTGCATATCTTTTTCTTCTGTTTTATGTTGTCAACCAACCCATGTTTATTTGTACAGTTTTAATACAAATTATCATTTAATTGCAGACCAAACTTAAGAAGATTAAATGTATACCAAGGCATTTATATCAAAGCAACTGCCTAAGTTATGTATTTGGTTTGTTTTAAACTGCTCCAATAAACATGTTATATTCTAGTGAAATCAACTGGTAAACTGTTGTGCTGTATGACACAATATTATTGTTATATTGGCTAATTAAAAAATTTTCATCACATATGCAACATATCTCTAAATCTGAGTAAAAATATTGTACCTTCACCCTGTCAATTCAATTCACAAAGTATAATACATACAGTCGCACATTTCTAAGTGTCTTTAAATTTCCCTTTCCCCAAAAGTATCTATAATTAATAGTGTAAGTATGTAATCACTAGGTGTCCTTTGTAGCATCTCTTATTAGGGAGAGGAGGGAGAAAAAGAAGCACACTGTAAATTATTTAACAGCAAAACAAAATTAAAACACCACTGATTTTATGTGTGTATATGTGTGTGTATATACACATACATGTTATAGTGTGACATCTGGAATTTATAAAACTTCCTATTCAGATAAGGAAAATATTTGTTAGTGAGATTTAGTAAAGAGATAATGACTGTATACTACCCTACTGTATACATATAATTTGATTGTCTTAAAGCATCTAAATTTTGTCATTAGCACATTTATAGACATTTGTAAAATATATATCTATTTTTATTTTAATTTTTTGTAAAATATATTTTAAATGCTTATACAAAACATTTATTTCAATCATGTTCTTGCTCAGAATTACACTAGTAACACTTAAAAGATACAAATTATCTGGTTTATGTGAGCCATGGTTTACCCCCAGGGTGCATAATAAAAAATGATTAGGAGACTAAAAGGGAAATCTTCCATAATGTCCATTGCAGATGCTTGTCCTTATTCACATTTGGCACCTTGTCAAGTTGACAGCACATAGGACTCTGGTAGTTCAAAGAATGGTTCACTGAATCATCACTTGTTGATTTGCTTACTGCTTTTCATGCCACAGATATGCTTCAACCTCACAAAAGGATGAAGTCATGTCAATTCCCAGACTATATGTACAACCCATGTTTAATAGCATTGAAATATCATGAATATCTATCTTCATAGCTTGAGGAAAATTAACCTTGTCATTGTCAAGCAGAGAGACTAGGAGCAATGATAAGTGAGAATGAAGGCTCTAAAATTATGTAATATAAAATTATATATGATACTTTAAAATGTAATTTCCAGAGGGCTCAACCCCTCTGTATGGTGAAAAGAAACAGTAGTATTAGAGTGTGATGTTGTAAATTATATTACCTAAAGCTATATATTGGTCTTTGAAGTGTAAGGAATAGAGAATTTATCTACTTAGCTATGTGTTCTGTAACCAGGCTCATACTTAGGTCCTTGATTTCAGCTTGACTGATTGTTCCACGAAATAATACCTTTCTGACCAGGGAATCTGACTACAGGTCTGAGCTTGACTGGGAACTGTGCAAGGGTAAAGTAACATTTATTTGTTTTCTAACTCAACATACAAATTTCCCAGCGTTAATGAAATGCTTAGTCTCCCTATATTTATTTGTGGTAAGTCTTATAACCAGGTCAGGTTAAGAATCAGATTTTATAAATTTAGAGAGCTGAATTAAGGAGGAACATAAAAGGAAGAAGTGATGCCCATATATGTATGGATAAATCAGATGGAAATCGAGGTTTTAATTATTAGACTTGGGGGCTTATTATCATTTGGCCACTTTCATCAGCTGTTTCACAGTTTGTCCAACAAGAGTAGCTTTGGATGTTTGTAGGTTTCTAAAGCAAGTCTAACTTTTAGTTGATGCAGGTGAAAGTGATAGAATTACATAGCATTTTGTTTTTCATTTTATAACCATAGCATCAATTTACCCAGTTACTTGAGTTTTGCACCATCCATTGAGGAGTAAGAATTTATTGAACAGAAAACAGTGAAGGCACTAAATATTTACTCTGCATGAATTAGAGCTATTAGAATATTTCTGCAAATGAGTCACCTTCTTAGAAGCAGGGGACTGCTTACTGAATCTCTTAGAGTTTCTTCCAGGTCTAATTATCTATGAAGGATTTCCCTTGGTTATTTCTCCAATTAAAAGTGCAAAATGTCAATTTATGAATATTATATAATGTAGCTCAAGATAAATGTTTACCTTCTTTTATTTAAACATTTGCCCCTTTATATTAATCACCATTGCCAATGTATTTACATATTACTAATTTTATATAGGTAATATATAGTCATATTATCTGAAGCATACAGAATAGGGTATATGCATTCTGGAGAAGCTCCAAAATTAATGCCTTCTTTTAAATAATCTCTAAAAAGTTACCCAGCTATTTCTTTTATTTTTCAGTTGAATACTTGCTCTTGCCAATTACTGAAGGTTCTTCCACGTAGCTATCAGAATGTTTCATTTGTAATCTGACAGAAAGGTTTCTGCTTAGAAAGTAACAACCCATTTTACTAATCAAAGTTAGCCTATAAATCTCCTGTTTTGGAGTAAACAAAAATAAAATGTGCTTTCTGGTTTTAATTTCTGGTTTAATAAACCTGAGTAGTATACATTTTGTTCCTTAAAGACTTTTGCAACAGCATCTAATTACATTAGATCACAAATAATACTTCATCTTGACTGGAGTACTTAATTTGAATGCAATCATTTGCTGTTCTATCCTTGCTCCCAGGAGGGAAGGGCATGTAATTTTAATACATATATAGGAAGACAAATTTATAAGGCATATGTGGGATGAAATAATCATTTTGGGCAAAATAAATTATTAATATGCTCTTCTTTGTATGTGTTGGAAAAATTAGAAAAATCAGTTTTTAGCCGTTTGCTTAGTTTGTCAAAAGTCATTCCATTGTGATATTAAAGGGCTTGGCTTATAAAATGCCTAGAGTTATTGGCATAAAAATAAAAATCTGATTTATCATAAAGATATGCAGGCTATATATAGGTTATATATCATAATTATTTTCAGAAATTTAGAGCCTGATGAAAGGAAACTTTTCAACTTCATAAACTTAAAGTATTATTCTACTTTTGTCTAGTTTAATTTACTATGACTGACACACAAGAGTGGAGTTAAATCATACCAGAATAATGATATTTTCATATTTATGGATTCAAATGTATTCTCTTTCTTATAATTATATCTTTATCTTCTTAGAAAACTATAACAATATATTTTGGCTAACAGTGTATAAAATACCAGGTGTGTTAAAGGAATAAGGGAACAAGTTTTATCAGGGAATTATCCAAAAATAAAAGAAAATAAAAGCAAACTTATTTAGAGTGTTTTACTTTTTATTTGATCATTGTGTTTCTTCAAGATTAAATGGTCTTTAGGCTGCAAAGATAAATAAAATATAATACTTGAAAATTTGTGTTCTTATTTGCATCATAAAGTGAGATTAGTAGTTTATTCAACAGCAAAGTATAAAGATATAAAGCAAACAAATAATTAAATTTTCTTCTACAACTACTAGATAATTACACTAAGGCCGATCTTCATGGTTAAAACTGAAATTGTTTCACCGCTTTCATAGGAATGACATCCACCTTCTTCTGGTGATTGTCAACGTGTAAAATGCAGTTATCATGGTAAACTAGCTTCACTTAATTGAAAATCCCATCACTTTGCATCAATTTTCACTGGTGGAATGTCATCAAATAATATTTATTGCATATCTCATTTTGAAGCTCAAGGCCACTGTAATCAGAGATTCCTACTGGTTACATTTGACCTTATAAACAGCTCATGAATATTTATTTGATAAGGCACTTTAAATCTTTAAATGCATAACAAAGAAATACCATATTGTAATGATGCTTTTTAAGCCCAATAGCTGTTGAAGTTTCTTTGGCTACAAGTAAAGAAAGTATTTTCTTACATGTAACTGTTATAGAAATGATATTGTTTCACTAAAGGTAATGGTTAATTGCTGGATACCAACAAACATCATTACATTTGCCTTCTCTAAAAGAAACTTGACTGTTGTCATTCACTTTAAGATGGTTGGAAGCATTTATCAGTCTAGATGGCATAAGGAATTCTGTCCATAAAAGCCATAGGAAGGATGAAAGGAGCAACCAAGTGCTTCCTGGGTGATGGGGCTTGGCAGAAAAATACTTCCAGGTGCCTGTAATCCATATAACATTTGACCGGTAGAAATAGGTGCTTGTAGACCCTGATCACTGGAGTCTGCAGATGAATCACTTTTAGAATTGGTGACCCCCAGGGAAGATAACACAGGCACTTGCATCATGAGTGGGGCAAAAGTCTGAGAACTGTTGCTGCTTGCCAGTCTTTCAGGAGCAGGTAAAACAAGAGGTTGCTGTTGCCAAAAATTAGTTGGACAACTCTTGCAGCAAAGAGGCAGGTTGACATTGTCCAAGGGCATTCCAAGAGAGCTTGTAGGTAAATGAAACATAGGTGAAAAGCAAGGTGGATAAAGTAAGGAGTTCAAAGGAGAGGGGGTCCCTCCACTAGAGGCCACTGGAGATGAGCCACTGCTTCCACCTGTGAATGACAATTCACTCAATGAATAATGAACTTGATGTTTGATATTCCTGCTATATTACTAATAATTTCCATCACTATCCTTGCTTCATCCTTAGATTAAATTTCCTTGTAAGTTCACAGCTCTTTTAGCTTCTTTGAGAAAGGACATGCTCATTCTTCTGACCAAAGCTGAATATAGTATCTATACCGGGGATCCCTAACGCCTGGGTTACCCACTGGTACAGGTTTGTAACCTGTTAGGAATCTGGCTGCACAGCAGATGAACAGCTGGCCAGTGAGCATTAACTGATGCCTGAGCTCTGCCTCCTGTCAGATCAGTGGCAGCATTAGATTCTCATTGGAGCGCAAATCCTGTTGTGAACTGTGCACGTGTGGGATCTAGGCTGAGTGCTCCTTAATGATAATCTAACTAATGCCTAATGATCTGCAGTGGAACAGATTTATCCTGAAACCATCCCCTCCCAAACTTCACCATTTGTGGAATAATCGTCTTTCACAAAAATCGTTTTTCCTGGCGCCAAAAGTTTGGGGAACACTGATCTATGCTACTACCACTATTACTTTTAGCACTGCTACCATGTATCATGTATTAAGCATTCATTTGCTCAAATATTGTGCTAGGCACTTAGTTTTTGAATCACATTTGTCCAAAGAATTACAAAGAAGTCTAATTATGACTCAGAGTCAATTATAGCTTAAAAACACAAACTAGTTTTATTATTTTAAAACCTTAAAAATTACTAAAATTAGTTAAGATGAACAAATCGATTGGTTGGGATTATATTGATTTAATTTATAGACAGAATGTATAGATTTTGTGTACATTGGTTTCTTAAAATTGCTCTGTCAGAAGGCACATTGATGTAAAAATTTCTCTGACCAATGTGTATTGATTTTAAAAATTCAATACTAAACTAGTAACTCATTTATTTGCAATTTGAGAGCATTCTGGATCTCTTAAATAATTAAGAAAACTATGTACTTTTATTATTTAAGGAATATTTTTAACTTTTTCTTTATTAACGCATACTGTTTTGACTTTGATATTTTAAAAGTATGCTTCTTAGATGCTATTATTTAAATTGACACTGTAAAAGAAGTGTTTACATTTTTTCAAGCAACTCCCTAAACCACATCAATACAGTCATTCCAGTGAAATATTTCACCAAACGATAAGACTTCACTTCTTCCCCTTTCAGTTAGTTAGTTGATAAGGCATCATGTAAAACTCAGCCTAACTATAATGTTGATTTTGCTTGGTAATTGTAACCTTAAATTAATGGTCAAAGACAAGCAAGTTTCATGGACAAAGGGATAAAAAAAATTCCATGTCATTTTCAAATAAAAATTATTATTAATTATCAGAGCAAATTAAGGCATTCTTCCAACAGAAAACCTACATTATTTGATTATTATCATTATTTAGTCATGTAATATACCATCTGAGAATAAATATCTTACACATATTTTTAAATGCTTGTGGCAATTAAATTGTGAGGACTTAGTATTATTTTAAACATTTACTTTCCCCATGAACAAAAAAAAAAGAGGAAAATTAGAGCTAAATGAATTTAATGAAAGTCATTTTAATGTGTGCTGAAAGGTTCTCATAAAACATAAACTATTCGTATCAATAGCTAACACGTTTGCAAATCAGGCTACAAATGCACCATAGGCATATCCTACAGAATGTGACACAGTGAGAGGCTGGAGAATCCAGATGAAACCTGAAAATCACAGGGTATAAGATAACTTATTAACATATGTCAATAAGTCCACAATTATCACATTTCTACTCTCTTCCTTCATGCTAGCTTCTCTCCCTTTATTCCTCTTACCTTGTCATTCAAGCAAATGTACACCCACTTACCTGTAAGTACACATTTTCTGGCACGTACTTATCCCTTTGTGTAGTATTTGTTACAAGGGTTATGGATGTTGTTATTTAATTAATATGTAAAAATAAAACAAATGTTCCAAGTTTTCTTACTTTGTGTGTCTGTGCCAAAGATTTTATAATTGAGAGTGAAAGAAGGCCTCCATGGGTAGGTGTCTAAAAGCCCATCCAGTAGACCCCTAAAAAAGAGAGTCAACTTTCAGTATCCCCAGAATGCAGTTTCTGAAAATAATGATTTTGAGTTATTTTGCTATGTCTTTAAGATGTAACTATTTTAAATATTTCTCTTTTATATAGATAGACTTATGAATAAAATTCAGTCAAACCTAGACTTCAAAAATAAGCAAGATCTTAATAGTGAGTAGCAAGGGAGTGGGAGGAAGTAACATTTTGGACACAAAACATCTGGGTTCCTTTTCTACTACCTACTAATTACAAAACTTAGAGCTTTTGAGTCTCTTAGCCAGTTTTCTTATCCTTAATGCTTGTGAAAATAGCTACCTACATAAACATTAGATGTAATTGTGATGCTACTTACCTGTTTCTTCCAGGATCTCTAAATCCTTTAGCAAAAGGATTTCTGTCTATTTTTAGTTTAGTGATCTATGGATTCAATAGAGAGAGAAAGATAAAGTCATTCCTTTCGGTAAGAACACTGTCACCATTGTTTATCATGGTTGCAACCACCAGAAAAGACATTGCAATATGTAATATGACAATTTAAATAAATATGACTATATTGCAAGTCAAATTTGAAATGGTTACCTTCTATTTGTGAATCATTAATTTTTGTTTGTTTGTTTTTTGAGGGACGAAGTATCTCTCTGTCACCCAGGCTGGAGTGCAGTGGGACGATCTCGGCTCACAGCAAACTCTGCCTCCCGGGTTACAGGGATTCTCCTGCCTCAACGTCCTGAGTAACTGGGACTACAGGCATGCCCCACCACGCCCGGCTAATTTTTGTATTTTTCAGTTGAGACTGTGTTTCACCACATTGGCCAGGCTGGTCTCAAACTTCTGACCTCATGATCCGCCCGCTTCGGCCTCCCAATGTGCTGGGATTACAGGTGTGAGACACCGCGCCCAACACTTGTATGAATTACATTCTGGTGTTGCCTTCTCACCTAAGATTTACACAATTCATTATCGAACTTGCATGGATGACAAAGCAATAACACTATGAATTTTATTTAGAATTGTGGAAAATGAAATTGATTGCAGTTAGCGTCTATTTCGCTATCCCAAGATCCCTCCAGAGTCATTCCCATTTGCCTTAGACATGACCAGCTTTACCTGTTGGTTTTGGTAAGCCGTTACTGTGATGAACTCAGTTACTTTAAAGGAGAATGTTTTAACCCTTTCAGTGGACAAGCACTGAATCTGGGACAGGTCAACACTGCTGTCTTGCTCCATCACATGCACTCGGGGTTTGTACTTATGCATGGATTGCAGAATGATCTGGAGGAGAAATGATCGATGCTGTCAGAAAAACTGGCTTCCAGTCCCCAATTCTAGTGCCCTCTCCTGATCAACTGCACCACATGCACACAAAAAGGCAACGATGAGGCTCAAGTAGCTACACACAACGGCCTTTGTTGTACCATTTGGACTTCAACAGAGGCCCTCAAGGCTAAAAACATCTCCAGAGAAAGACATCTCAGCGGCAATGATTCCATTTCCAGATTGGGGCCCTTTCATTCTTCAAACATTGGCAACCATTGGGTGTAGAAGTGGTACTGGGATCTGATAGCCTGCTACAGGTTCCCTTGGCAGTAACTGATGGGCTTGGACATGGTGGGCAACCTTCTGACATACCCTACCTCCTAATCTTGGGAGCTCCCCTCTTTCCTTTTGTAGCTGGCACAGAGCCAGACTGGAGAGGGCAAAAGCAGGGGTGCACCTAGGAAGAATGCGCAAGATCAATAATACCAATGGGGGTAGGTTGTTGGAGAGATTTCCAGGCTGCATTCTGAGCCACCACTTGTATCCCTCCAGCACACCATACCACACACTAGGTGCCCGTCCAACTGCGTGGACTGTAGGAAGGCAATCACAGAGATCACAGTGATTGCCAAGGAGGCCAAGGTTTCTGAGAGTTCTCTGAATGGTTTCCTCCTCCTCTTCCAGACCAGGCATTCTGGCTTAAACAGGTCTCTTTTTGTCCTCAAACTCCCTAGATTCACCATCCCCAATTGCCAGCACTCTCAGATGCCAAACAAACATTTCAGGAGCCCTAGGTTGTCTACTTTACTTACAAGTGCAGGGCTTGGACAGTTCCTAAAGAACACAACATGTGTATCTGTGAAAAGCCTCCTTGGCCTCTTCAAAGTGACCAGTGGGCAGGAGCCTTGGCACCTCCCCTGTCAGGGTAAAGGATTGTGCTCACGTACATGGCCTTTGTCATCCAATTCATTGTTGGTGAGTTTCATGCGATCAAAGCAGATGATCTGCCGCATCCAGGTCTCTCCTGAGCAGGGTGAGTCCGGGTGAACATAGAATCTAGGAGTGATGCACAAATGGTCTGTATTCCCGGCTACAATCCACTGTGAGCTGTGATACGCATACCTGAAAAGGCACAGGCTGTGGCATTAGGTGCAGCAGGCCAAAACTGGGAGCTGTTGAGTTCTGTTCCTAAAGACCTTGCTCCAGATTAGCTTTGTGATCCCAAGGGCAAGTAAGCAGAAGTTTCAACTTAATTTCTAACAAACATTTAGGGGCAAGATATAAACTGTAAATAAGCATATGTCATAAAAATGCAATGAAGTGCAGGACAAGTAAAATGTCATGAGATTTCTAAGTCTGGTTTGTATTTTCTTATAGAAACCACAACAGAAATTGATCTAACTCATTTTATCTCACAGAGAGAATGGAGAAATCCACTAGCTTTGGGTGTGAAGAGTCTGGGAAGAAGTGGAGGGCTGACAAGGATTTCTGTCTAGCCCACTGCCACCAGTCCTTGTGGAAGCCCTTTTGTCAATAAGGCTTCACATTAAGAAAACCCTTAAGGGTCAGGTGCAGTGGCTTGAGCCTATAATCCCAGAATATTGGGAGGCTGAGGGGGACGGATCACGAGGTCAAGAGATCAAGACCATCCTGGTCAACATGGCGAAATCTTGTCTCTAAAACATACCAAAAAAAAAAAAAAAAAAATCAGCTGGGTGTGGTGGCACACTCCTGTAGCCCCAGCTACTCGGGAGGCTGAGGCTGTTGAACGGCTTGAACCTGGGAGGCAGAGGTTGCAGTGAGCTGAGAATGTACCACTGCACTCCAGCCTGGGTAACACAGTGAGACTCCAGCTCCGGGGAAAAAAAAAGAAAGAAAAAAAGAAAGAAAAGAAATCCCTTAGGAACACACCCCTGTGCAGCCTCCAGCTGATAACATTGTTTCCAATCTCAACTTCCCAGTTTTGCTCCTGTTCCCAAGCCAGCTGCAACTTGAGAAGCAAACAGCTTTTTCTGCAGTTTCCATGCTGCAGCCCCAGCAGTCCTCTGAGTTGAACTTTTCCTTGTTTTCAAAACTAGCCCTGGATTTGAGGTGGGCTCTCTCCTTGGAGGACCAGGGACCCACCTCTTGGTCAAATGTTCACAGTCCTAGTGTAAACAGCTCTCACCTCCTCAACCCCTCCAACCCTGAACTGGACCCCAAGCCCCTGAGTCAAAGTCATGGCAACCTGGTGTTTCTAGGTTATATCCCAGAAAGGCTTTTTGGCTTTGGAACAATTGGGCCACTTTCAATCTGCTGTAATTTGAGGGCTTAAATAAAGGGAAAAGGATACTTGTACCCATTAAGACCCAGACATTGCTTCAGGGGAAAGGTTAAACATGAATAAAAAGACAGGCCTAGACACAGGAACTGCTTGATTGATCTTGAGTGGCAAATCTGTCATCCTTCTGGGCTCCTGCTGCCAAAGCAGGAACACTCAGAGCCCAGCGTGTCCTCAGAAGGCCAGCACCCCATAAAGCCTGGGGATTTCTCCCCCAATTCCTTTAATCTGCTTCCCTTCTGGTCTCCAGAGCCCACACCCTCTTCAGCTTACACAACCAAGGCCAGAGCAGCAGCGGGTAGGGAGAGGCTTGGGGTACATTTGAAGCTCAATTAGTGTCCTGCATTCACTGCATTCCAAGAGGGGATACAGGCAGAGAGAGGTAGAAGCCTGCTCTTCTTTCACTGGGAACCCCAATTTGAATAAGAAAATTCAACTCCCAAAGCCCACAGGAGGGCAATTCTCCACCCCACCCCCTGGTGCTAGAATTTTCAAAGTCCTGCTGTCAGGTTGCAGGTCTGAAAGTCGAAATCCTTCGCCCTAGCCTGGGCATGGGTACCATCCTATGGGGCCCATTACTTATAGCGTTTGGAATCCACTGGCACCACATCGATGACCATATAGTACTGCTTCCCGGGATCCAACCCTTTCACCTTGACCCGAACAGGGGGGAACATCCGCCTGTAAGAAAGAAAATAAGGACTGACTCAAGAGCTTTCAGAAATGTTTGGAAGAGGGAGTGGTTCTTGACAAATGTTGACTGCAGTGAAAAGTGAAGGGACTCACAATACTCTTCCCATTTCAAAATAAGTTCAAAGAATAGTATTTCCTGCATGAGGAAAGATTGTTGGTTGTGTACTCGGTTGAACAACTACGGAATTTCTAGGGGGAGCAGAATATTATTACCACAAGGCTTTGTTCATGTCCCTCCCCAAACATAATAAAAAGCTTACAGAAGAAAAAGTATGAAAGAAAAAGCTGTGTCCCAACCTCCTTTTCAAGAATACTTTCTGTGAGGCAGATTTGTAGAAGGCTGAAATTAATAAGACTCACCAAGTAACCAGCTGCAGTGAAGTGGCTGTCCCATGCCAAAAAGTGGCTATGGGAATGGCTCACCTCAAAATAGCCTGGGCCAAGGCTGGCGGGCTGGAGGAACTGTAACATGGCATATTGTCCATGAGTATGTTGCAAGCCCTATGTGAGAGGTCTGGCCACAGTCTGAGACCAAAATCTGATTTTTGTCTCATATTATGCAGGCAAGAGATGGGGAGGTGAGTTATTGGAGTCACAGTATACAAAGAAGGAAGAATGAGCCACCAACATGGGGCCAGGTAAGTCCTAGCCCTATTAATTGAGGGGCCAGGGCTTTCTAACGTATGCCATGGAGTTTGGGAAACGGGACGGAGGACTGCCAGAGCAAAAAACTGGAGACTCCACATCTTACCAGAGCGGTAAATTAAGTGCCTAATGTGTGCGACCCTTGTAAACATCTTGGGCAGAACCGAACCTGCCCGCTTTAGTAATGATCATCTCAGTCCCGATGTCATGGAATTTCTTCCACAATTCAGATCCTTGAAGCTCCATTTGAATATCTTTCTCTTCCAGACTTTCAGGGCTGTTGCCATTGTCATTGTCGCTGCCGCAGGCAGAGGAAGCAGTTGTTGAGGGCTCTGTCTTAGGCTGTTTTTCTGCTGGACAGAGAAACGCGCTCAGGGTTTGAGAGAGCATGACAGTTCACATGCCCACTTCTCGCTGCTGCCTATCTTGAAGCAGACAGGCCTTGTCCCTTCCCCAGGAACTTTGGCGGCAGATTCCCCAAGCTCCGCGTAATAACCTCTATGGCCTGTGAATGGAGAGAGAGCGGCCTTGAAAAGTGCAGGCCCCCCCTCCCTTTTTTTTAGATTTGCCAATCCTCACTCTCCTGGAGACGTTTATAACTGAGACTGGATCCCCTCGGGATTTGGGAACTCGCCAGGCTTCCCATCCCGGGATACAACAGCCACCCGCTGGTTCTGAGACCTTTCAAAGAGGTAGGAGGAGGATGTAGGAGAGACTCACTTCACAATCATGTAGGGTCGCTACCCTTTACCGCAAAGAAACTGCTGTACTCCCGGAGGGATTCGGAGGCTCTGAAACTTCTCCTACACCACCAGGTGGTCGAGGTGTCCCGCCGGCCCCTAACGTGGCTGATGGCTGAGACAGGACGCGAGCCAGCGGGAGAGATGCGGATCCAGTAAGCTCGGGCAACTGGCTCAGGGCAATGGGAGTACTTACCCGGCTGCTCGCTTTTCCCTGCAGCGCTTCTCCTTCTCTCCTCCTCTTCCTCTCCGCCCTCTTGGAGGTTTCTTTTGCTGGGTCTCCCCACTAAGGCTTCCACGGAGAAGGCATGCGCCCGAGAGCTCAGAGCCATCCCTGGAGGGGGCGAAGGGATTCTTTGCAGCAAAGTTTCAACCTGAACTGGGTTAGGGAAGGAGGGGAGAGACAGATGGAGGGCACAGAGGGTAAAGGAAGGAGGGAAAGCGGGGGGGAAAAAAAAAAAAAAAAAACCCAAAACCCAAAACCCAAATCTGTAAAAAACAATTTCTGTATCTGTATTCAAAGAAAATAATTGTGTGTGCCTGTGCGTCTGTGTGTAATTTTTATATATACATTTTTTGTTTGAATAGACAAAATGAAAGGAGAGGAAGATCAAACTAGTGTATATGTCCTTCAGAGTCTAGTCTCCCTTCCTCCCAGTGGACATGTGCAGACCATTAGTCTCAAATCCCTGATTCCAGAACCTGGCAGAGCACAGAGATTGGCAAGCGCCGGCCTTTTAGGGAGCAGACCTGCCGCCAATTGCGGCTCAGGTTGCTCGGATTGGGAGTTACTGTTGCATCCAGTGAATACCCAGCCGGTCACTGCCTCCACTGTTTGTTTTGGAAACTATTGGAAGCATAAAAAACACAGTGAGTGACACTTCAGAGTCTGACGGGGGAGGGGGGGGTTGGGGACTTGTTGAAAAAGAGCTACAGATAGGGAGGTGGAGAGAGAAGAAAAGGGAGACACAGATTAAGGTTTCATATTAAATTGTAAAACTCAAAGACATGCGAAATAATTGTCCACGAGGGGCCGCTTTTACTGAAGTAGATCCAGAGAGGTGTATCAGGGTCTTTTGCTCTCCAGTGAAGGCACTGGGAAACAGAAAGTAGCACAAGATTTTTGGGCCAGTTGGCTCTGCAGTTGAAGTCTCAAACTAGGTGAGAAGCAGTTGTGCCAGTTTATCCTCTCTTCTGGTAGTGAGATGAGGGCTGGCTGGAGTCTCCCAGATGCCACTGTCAAGCATCAGAGAAAATTTGGATCTTCAAGCCCTGCCCCTGCTGGAGCCCAATATTCCCATACATAGCCTTTGTTTTTTCTCACAAGACTTAATCAGCAAACACAGCCTAAAAACTCCAGGGCCACCAGCAGGGCAACAAAAGGGCCTTTGCTCTCCAAAACGTGCACGACTCAAAATGTTCAGATTAAATAATTGATTTCAGTGTCTCCTGGAATATATTCTTGGGCTGGATTTTACTTTTCCTTAAAATGGATAAAGAAGTTTCTTTTTTTCAGGAAGAGACTTGTCTACAACGTCCAAAGAGCATGTTTATGGGTGCAGATATGCGATGTCTGCCTGTGTGCATATGATTTGGTCACCTATCTTTTCTTTCATCAGAAAGAAGAAATCAAGTGCTCTGGACTCTTCTGCTGGTGCATCTTAACTAATGGCATTTGCATATTTCCGGAAAAGTTACATTATTCTCCTCTGACACATTTGTACCAATGGCATGTGAAGGTGATCCAAATTCATTTAAAATGAGATGGAACTTGAATTAACTTATATTTCAGTACGGGAATCTGAGAGTAAAAGACCCGTGTGTCCTTTTAGTTTCAGCTACTTAGGTACAAATGTGCCCTGCTAATGTGATGTCAGTGGTACTGTTGGTGGCAGGGTGATATTCAGCCATAGGGAGGAGATCTTCAGGCAATGGGGTATGACTTTAAACACTCTAAAAATCTCAGGTAATATGGCAAAGCTTGATGCTGCTGAAGGGTTTGGCTCAATAATTATTTATCCACTGCTCACCATGCAGAATGCAGAAAGATACTGTCCCTATCCTAGACAGACAAAGTGCAAAGTGAACCTCACAGGGCAAGGCCAACTTTGTAGAAGGAACTTGGGCTGGAAAACAGCCACATCTGCCTGGGATCTTTGCCACATCTCTTGTAGCATTTTTTTCTTCCTGCAGTTATTTAAGTGGGGAGAGAGTGTTTATTTTTTCTTACTCAGAAGATATATATATCTATATATCTATATATATAGATATATAGATTATATATAGATATATATATCTACACACACACACATACACACACACACGCATATATTATTCATTGCATGCTCTTACCTAAAAGACACAACTCAAAAACAGAAAACTCGAGCTCATTTGTTAATTTTAGAGTGCAAATTACCACATAGTATTTGTGTTCATATCTTCTAATATAGGCGTTTTCTTGCCTTTGAACCTTAGCTCACTTTATTGTTAAAAGGCAGAACATCGCCTTGTATAGAAAGGGAAGACTTTGCTTGGTATCTTTTTGTAAAAAACAGATTTCTGTAAAAACAAGGCAAAAGATGTTTGTTGCAATGTCTGTGCTAGTATTTTAGACTGCCTAACACATGATGTGGTATTTTTAAAACAAGAAAATAGCATATCTTGGGTGTAAGTTTCTTTTTTAGAAGAAATTTCTTCCTTAATATTTATTACATGCATGTAATTTAGTCATCCAGAACTTTTTATTTTCATAATCTGAACTTTTCCCATTCCTATTTCTGTATATATCTGTTGACATCACTGGGAGATAGGTAGCTCAGCTCTCTCTTGTATGTACTAGACTAAGGTATAGTTAATTCCTGTTAACTTGCTTCCGAGGGGGAAAATACTGCCTTATCTCTTAACTAGCTTTGCAATCTTATCAGCTGTAGAAGCACTGGGCTGTCAAGTATTGGGGGCCTGAGGAACATACACTAAAGCCAGCAATTAATTCTCCACATCTGGAAGTTTCTTTGGGCCATCTATCTATTTCATCCGTGAACACATATAAACCTTTATAAAAGACTCTTCACAAATGAAGGGACAGTGAAACACGTGGAGGGAGTCTCTGAGACCCACAGGTGCCCACAATAGAAAGAAAAATATGTTTTTTAAGTTTGATAGTGAGAAAATCCTTACATTAAAATGTTGGTTTTGAATTGACAACTCCCCCTGATTAAAATATTTTGGCAAACTTTCAGGCTTGTAGAACATGAATCTGAAAGAAGCTACTCATGACCTTTTTTTTTTTTTTTTTTTTTTTTTTTTTTTTTTTTTTTTTTGCCATTACTTGGGAAAGATCTCCTTAGAATGATCACTCAAGAAAGCAGAGTCAGGAAATGTAATCAGCCTCCCCACAACATCATTTGAGTATCTGAATACAACTTTGCCTGCACTAGCTAAGTTATATGAAGAAATAAATTATCTTTGTTTGCTTAGGTGAGCTTCAGCTGGGTTAACCCAAAGGATTGCATTTGAATTTCAAAATCCATAGGAAACACGTCTTCTAGAATACATAACCTGTTTTTATCAGTTTGATCCTTGGAAATATACTTTTGGTATTTTACCAATGCAATGAAAATGTATGTTCTTATATGATTAGATAAAATGTGTTAATGACAAGACCCTAAGTCATAGCTGTGTTCTCACTTCAGGAAATTGAGGGAAGTGGCCTAATTAATATTAAAGTAATTCTCACACTGAATCCTTCAACTTCTTTTTAGCTTAATTCAATATAGTCTCTCGAGAAGTCTGCTTTTATTCATCCAGTCATTGACTTATGCATGTCAAGCTCTGTTATTCCTAGATAGAGTGGAGGAAGAATAAGTAGGGATACAAATTCTTCTCTGTGCTCATTGTGTTTTTCTCATGGGGAGGATTGGAAGCTAAATGCTTATGCTTGCCAAAACTTTAGCTACAGGAAAATGTATTATGTTGAATTTAATCATGTGTTCGTATCGCTATCAAATGGTGAAGGAAGGTCTTCCTAAGATAATAATTACTTTAGGCTTGAGTTCATTGTATTTCTCATTCTAACTGAAGTATATCAAAGGCATACAACTACCTTTTCTTATTTCTTGACTTAATTCATAACTTAAGGTTGGTGGAATTTGAAAAATTTCCTAGGAAATTTGCTCCCAGAATTATGGAGAAAATTTTGTACTTGGCTATTTTTGAGTAAGCTAAATGAATAAAAGAAGAAAAAAACTTTTTAAAAGTCCAGATGTAACTCTACCCTATAGTGATACAAGTAATTGCCAGAAGAGGCATTCTATGGCCACCTTTCAGCTGACTTTTACTTCGTAGAACAGTGTAAATAATAAATAATTGTGAATGCATCCTGTCTCTTTTAGTCCTCAAACACTCTCCATTAAAACATTGATCTTAAGGCCAGGTATATGCGCTCACACTTGTAATCCCAGTCCTTTGGGAGGCTGAGGGAAAAGGATAGCTTGAGTCCAGGAGTTGGAGACCATCCTGGGCAACATAGCAAGAACCTTTCTCTACAAAACATAACAAACAATTAAAAAACAAGCAAACAAACACCAAACTAGAGTCAAACCCAATCCTTTTCTATGCTACCTTTTGGGTGCTCCATTGGCACTTGCACAGTCATATATTAACTGAAGGCCAAATCACAATTGCCGGACATAATATTTTTTCATGACTTGAGTTTGTGATATGTGAATTTTTAGGTTAGGTTATTTAAACTTGGATATTATGCCTTATACATTTCTTTTCTTTTCTTTTCTTTTCTTTTCTTTTCTTTCTTTCTTTCTTTTTTTTTTTTTTTTGAGCTGGAGTCTCGCTCTGTCGCTGGGGCTGGAGTGCAGTGAGTCAATCTCAGCTCACTACAAAGTCCACCCCCCGGGTTCAAGCGATTCTCCTGCCTCAGCCTCCTGAGTAGCTGGGAATACAGGAGCCCACCACCACACAAAGCTAATTTTTGTATTTTTAGTAGATGTGGGGTTTCACCATGTTGGCCAGGCTGGTCTTGAACTCTTGACGTCAGGCAATCCACCCACCTCTAGCCTCCGGAAAGGCTAGAGCCTCATTAGAAAGTACCACTGCTTAGAGCCCTTGGTTAGGGATTATAGGCGTGAGCCACCACACCCAGCCATATGTTTCTTTTACTTACTCCACTCCCATCTTTCCTTTTCTTTGTCTTTTTTTTTTTTATGCCACCTTTTTAAAAATGAGGATGAGAGTCAGAGTTGCCTCCAAATATGCTATATGCATCAATCCCAAACAAAGCAGGCTAGGATTTGAAAAATGACTGCAGGTGCCAGTTTGATATTCTAAAATAGATAATTCAAACGTAGCAAAATATCACTGGCACAGATCACTTGAATGGAGATATGCCAAGTTTATTACATCAATGAATTATTGAAAAAAATACTCTTTATGAAGAATGATTTTATCTCCCTAGAACCAGAAAAATGCTTGCTTTACACCCTCTTCCCCTACACATGCTTTCTCACCAAATGACTCTTCATGCAGTCCTCAGATCAGCAAGTCATCATCATCTGGCTCTGCCTAATTTGGGAGCCATGAGCCCAACAGAAGGAGATCCTTCTGTTAAGAAAGAAATCATCCTGAATTCCACTGGGCCCACCAAATCTCATGCTAATCTTTTTGCTATTTACTTACTCCTGGGCATTTACAATATATTTTCCTCTCCTTAAATTGACACCCTATGTCATCATCCCTAGGGCATGTGAATAAGGTATTGAAGGCTTCTTTCCATATTATCATAATGATCTGTATTTAATCAGGGCTTTTCAATACCTAACAACCACAAATGTACTGACAGTTGAAAATATTTGGTAGTAGGCTGAGTGATTTTCCCTAAGTCTATCAAAACACCAAATACAGGAAAACACCTATATTGCCTGTGCTTAAAGCCAGTCTATGCCTTCTTTCATACACTATCTTCCTTCCCAGGGTCCCCACATTAACACTACTAGACAAAAAGCTGCTCCTTCATGAAGTAAATTTTTATAGAGTTAGTAAGCCCTGATCAATACTCCAAGGGGTAAAAGGGAAGGCTTTAATCATTAAGAAATAAAGATAACATGTAAAAAATACGAAAAAGAAATTACAGAAAACAGTAAGGCATTCATGGGGATAAGTCTGCTGAACTGAAGCAAAACAACCATACCACCCCACAGCAAACTCCTTGACATCCCTTTTATGACCAAGTGCTTTCTGTAGTCTCCTTCTCTAGTTTTAAGGCATGTGTGTGTGTGATATGTGTGCTTGTGTGTCTGTGTTACAATTCAGTATATGAACTCAACCTTTGGTGAGAAAAATCAGGAATAAGTAAGAGGAAACAAAGTCTTTTGGCACACTTTGATGTTCCCTCTCTAATCCCAATGCCCATGCATTGGGACTTCAGACTTCCTCCTGAAATCAAGTGAGTGCAAAGAGGATCCAATAATCCTTTTCCCTCTGTGATCTAGAGCTCCTTGGGGAAGAGCCTCATTAGAAAGTACCACTGCTTAGAGCCCTTGGCGAGGGTCACTTTTCAGTGTTAGACACCTGCCGCTCAGCTCAGTGGCTTCCATGTTGGCTGCAGTCCTCACCTTCCAGGATGCACTTCCGTCCCTTCCGCTCGCTCCATAGCTCTCTAAATTAGATCTGTGAGCCCTAATGCATACTATCCTGGGCCTGGGAGCCTTCTGGTAGCATTGCTGCCTAGGAGAGGGACTATTGCTAGCTTATTTGGGTATTACAGCATACTTTCAACAGACAGGACAAGTCTAGCCTTCATTCATTTTAAGGAGCACTAACATTCTACTTCTACCCGCCCCCCCCCCACCAAGAAATAGTGATTGCAAGATCTCTGTCACAAAATTTCTAGTTGAAGAAAGATGAAACTGACAATTATCAGCTGGACTTTCCTAATGTTAGGGACTTGGTTAGTGATAGCCAACAGAGGAGGCAGAGGCTGAGGAGAATCCTTGTTCTGATGTCTCCCTAAAACCCATAACATGGCCAATAAGGCAGAAGTATTTACCTGGAAGGCAAGAAGCAGTGCGTTGCTGTGTCAAAAGACCAGGTCACCCCAGTGGCTCTGAAGTCAAGTCTCAGTAAGAGCTCGTTCACTTTATAAATGTTCAGCAGCTCTTTTCAAGGGCCAAGAGAAGAGTGGCCTAGAGCCAGGGCACAAACGTACGTTGTGTTCTGGCCCTCAGCTGTGGGAGAGGCACTTGCTACTTCCTAGATTGGACTCCAGCAACTTCTCCCACAGAAGACCTACTTTTACTCAAGGTTGGCCACGAAGTCACAAAGACAGTCTGTGATTTCAGCTTTCAGAGCCTCAAGGCTGCAGGCACCCTCCTACCTACCTCAGCCTCCCTGTGCAAGCAAGCCTGGCTGCATCCTGCTCTGAGCTACAGACTAATGCACTTGGGAAAAATGCCTTTGAACCAAGAATGGGTTGACTTTACAAGTCTAGTCAGCTCATTTCCATGCCCAGCAGAAACACTTGCAGTTGGAGAATACTTTTCAATCCTCAATCAACAATAGCAGCTCAGAAGCTCCCCCCAAGGGACTCAGCTCTGGAGTCATCCACTAAGGGACCCATTCAGCCTCAGGCAGTGATTCCTAGGCAGTGTAGAGACTCTCAGTGGCCAGGATCCCTCTGTCAGTCCGCAAACAACACATAAACAAAACTTTACACCTCCCAGTGGAAAGATCCAAAACACACACACACACACACACACACACACACACACACACACAATTTAATCCAGAGCAAATCCCAGAAATGCCTTGATGCCTTGGCTGACACATTTTTCTGCTACAAAATAGAACACGTGATTTTTAATTGTTGGCTTATTTCTCCAGGGCAGCTCACAGAGAATTGAAAAGGGCTTAAGGCCCTAAGCCAGACGACTTTACTACTAATAAGTGATCCATAGGTACTTGAAAAATCAATGCTCATTTTATCCTCCAGTGGAGAGGCTCCCAGAAAAGACAGATTCCAGATCAGTGTGGTTTAATTGGACCAGTTCTATAGCTTTTAAATTTATTTTCTCCATTGCAGAGAGCACCACACCTTTCAAGTAATACAGGAAACCCCAGCTACCCCACATTAGGCTATAGCACCGTAGTGTCCTGGGTAACTAGGAAGGACCCAGAGGATTTCCCAAATAAAACCACTGAAGCATATAATGCCTGTTCAACCCCTGCCTGAAAAACCAGAGGCCAAGGAGAGCCATGCATTTCTTATCAATATTGAATGCCAAATAGTGAGAGTGGGATTTCTGATGAGTTTATAAATTCATTCTGTTATTCCTGAGGTTTCTAACTCACAGTCAACCAAGCATAAACTCAAGGGTTTATTTTTTATTTTATTTTACTTTACTACTTCATTTGAAAGTTTTAATGTCTGAAGAGGACCTCAGTCTCTTTAAAGTATTTTTCCTGGCAAATATATTCCCTTCTCTCAAGAGAAGTAAAGGGGTGGTTTTATTTTATGTTTGTTGTTGTTGTTGTTGTTGTTTTTGTTTCTGACTTCCCCCTTCACTTTATCTCTATTTTTCAGCTAAATAATGCCACGGTAATAAGTTTAGTCATTTTTGAAGAAAGCTCAGAGACAGGATTTTGTAAGAATCCTTCCACACCCTGTGAAAGAAGAATGAATGTGTTCGTGTCTTCGCACTCCTGCGTGTTTGTTTAGGGAGAGAGGATTGCAAATAAGAACAGCATGTGAGCCCATGCATAAAACTACATGTATTTTGAAACGACAAATCTGGTCCTGATTTAATGTTGGGAAATGTGTTTCCTGTCGTAATTGGGGCTATTCACTTTTGGTGATATTTAAAACGGGCCCAACAGAGTCGAGTTGATGTTTGGTTAACCACGAAGGAAATGGCTTTTGATCAGGCAGGCAATTACTAATCAAATCTGGTAACTTCCCAAGCAAAACAAAGGAATTTTTAACTATTCTTTTTCTACAGTGATGCGCAAGGCAATTATTTATGAATGAAAGAGGGTTGTTTGTGCTGGTGAGCGACAGACAGTACGGAGTGAGCCACAAGGACTAGACTATCATCACAAAAGGTCATCTCCAAACTCAGGATGAGAGTGCCCTTTTTATGGCGTTGTGTGTGTATATGGGAAAGGAGGCTGAGTGTAACTGCCAGCATAATCCTGAGGTTGCAAGGTCTCTGCCTGCTGTAGCAGAAGAGACTTGTCGCTATGTCATAAATAATCATACTCAGGCAACTCAGAAAACCGTGTCTTCCTTCCCACCTCCTCCACTCCCTACTGTGAGCTCTGTAGTGCTTGGTTTCAGGGCCCTGGCAGCCAGGGGATACTTTACCCATGGCCTTTGGGGTGAGGGCTTTTGAGAGACCAGGCTCGGACGCTCTGTAGAATCAGGTAGTTAGCCAGGGGACAAGTATTTGCCAAAAAACCAATTCAACATACATGTGAAGCGCTAGATGTATACTGTCTGGGTAGAGGCAGGACAACAATAAATCAGGGAGGTAACTTCATTCTCCTATTATACACCTGAAGTAATCGAGATTTAAGAGATTACATTAATAGTGGATACAGCTGCCACTCTCCAGCGCTACGGTGACTCTAGGAGATCACTGCTTAGAGATCAGCAAGTAATGACTTTTAAACCGTCCGCAATCATTCTAGTACCCTGCTCCTGCCCCAAGTCCCCGCAGTGATTCCCAGAGGACCCAGGGGCAAAACCTTTCAGCCTGCATAAGCTATCCTATTTTGCATGATCTTTTGTCTCGTTGGTGCTGCTCGGGGAGCAAACCTGCGCTTCCCAGCCGTTCGCGGAGCCCGCACCTGCTGCCGGAAACCTAGCTTTCTTCCAGCCAAGCCTACCTCACAGGACCTTTGTTGTTGTAGAGCTCGAATTTTGACTTAGTAAATTCGGTCGCCAGTAGCTTCTCTGCTCACCAAGATGTCCTTAGAAGTTTGGGGAGAGATTGCTGCACTCATTAGGGACTCCAAAAGCCCTTTCCTGTGATAGTAAATCTGTGTCTGGGTCAAACAGGCCTCTTTACAAACACTTTTTTAAAATTTTATTTTATTTTATTTTATTTATTTATTTTGAGACGGAGTTTCGCTCTTGTTACCCAGGCTGGAGTGTAATGGCGTGATCTCGGCTCACTGCAACCTCTGCCTCCTGGGCTCAGGCAATTCTCCTGCCTCAGCCTCCTGAGTAGCTGGGATTACAGGCACGCGCCACCATGACCAGCTAATTTTTTGTATTTTTAGTAGAGACGGGTTTTCACCATGTTGACCAGGATGGTCTCGATCTCTTGACCTCGTGATCCACCCACCTCGGCCTCCCAAAGTGCTGAGATTACAGGCTTGAGCCACCGCACCCGGCCCTACAAACACTTTTGAAAGTCGAAGCACAAGTGCCATTTTCTGGTGTGCTCCTCTGAATTCTTATTAAGCAGTTATATCATCTGAGCTGTGATTCAGCTTCCCACTGTCTTCCTGGATCAGCATGACCTTTGAAAGACCATGATCCATGTGCCATGGATTTATTAAAAAGACTGATTTGTGGCCTGGCACGGTGGCTCAGGCCTGTAATCTCAGCACTTTGGGAGGTCCAGGCGGGCGGATCACAAAACCAAGAGATGCAGACCATCCTAGGCAACATGGTGAAACCCGCCTCTGCTAAAAATTAACGGGATGTGGTCGCGCGTGCCGCTAGCCCCAGCTACTCAAGAGGCTGATGCAGGAGAATCACTTGAACCTAGGAGGCAGAGGTTTCAGTGAGCTGAGATCGTGCCACTGCACTCCAGTTTGGTAACAGAGCAAGACTCTGTCTAAAAAAAAAAAAAAAAAGAAAAAGAAAGAAAGAAAAAAAAAAACTATTTTGGAGAAGCCAAGACGTATCAGATGTTATTTCTCTTGACAGAATGTAACAAAATGTCACTAATATTTTTAAATTGGGAGAGTTTAGGTGCTTTATTTTTTACCATTCTTAGAAAAAAAATATTGAACATGATTAATGGATAATTATTGGCTAGAATTTCAGACAGCATTCTCTTTTTTACTTAGCATAGTTGCTTAACTGTGTTCAGATTTGCCACTTAACTCTATTTAAAAAAATACAAGTGGTCAATTTCAGGGACAATTATCATATCGTCACCTAAGGAGACCAATGAGATAACTTTGAAGATTAACTTGCAAACAATTATTATTTTAATGAATTTGCACACATATGTTAGCCTAAATATAATCTATTGAACTAGTTGCAATAATTATGTTTTAATGAAATTTAGGCTTTATTCTCTAGAAAAATATACAATGCTGGATTCAAATTTTTAATTAAAACTTTTAACACAATGATGCAAATGTATATTTCACATTGGTGAACTTATTTATAATGTTTTAAAGCCACATCTATTTAATTAAAAAATGCATTGAAAAATGACTCATTTCTTGCTTAGTGTCATCCCAACAACTGAAGCAGATCGAACAGCACATCTAATTGATTGAGCAAGTTTGATCACAAGGATTATTGCCACAAAATCAACTTATTAAAAGAAAAAAAAATAAATTAGACCTTGTTACTCAAGTGAAGGAACCTTTATTAGAACAAATTGGGGAAATGTGGGGATAAAAAATTCAGAAAAAGATAAAATAGAAAGTAGATTTAAGTATACAAATGTTAGCCATACTTCACAAGAGAAAGAAATAAAAGGCATCGAAATAGCGAGAGAGGAAGTCAAACTATATGCAGGCAATATAATTCTGTACCTACAAAACTCCGTGATCTTGGCCCAGAAGCCCCTTGATCTGATACACGAATTCAGCAGAGTTTTAGGACACAAAATAAATGTACAAAAATCAGTAGCATTTTTAACACTGACAAAGTCCAAGCTGAAAGGTGAATTAAGAATGTAATCACATTTCCAGTATCCACAAAAATAATAAAATACCTAGGAATACAGCTAACCAGGAAGGTGAAAGATCTCTATAACAAGAGTTACAAAACACCATTCAAAGAAATCAGAGTTGACACAAAATAGGAAGGATTAATATTGTTAAAATGGCCATACTTCCCAAAGCAATCTACAGATTCAATGCTATTCCTGTCAAATTACCAATGACATTCTTCTCATGATTAGGGAAAAAACTATTTTAAAAGTCATAT